GAGTTGGTTAAGCTGAAATTAGAGGTAAGATTGATGAATTGATGAAGACAAACAACCGATCTTGAAGTAGGATCTTCAATTTTGAGCTTGATCCTTTCAATGGAAGCTCATTGATTTGGCAGATTGAAAAACCCGCGCTGATACCATGTGCGAATTCAGCTTATTGAGAGAGTAAAGTTGAAAGTTTTTTTCATGTTTCTTAAAGCTCAATAGTACACTTATATACAAGAATAAGTAACCACAGTTATATCAGCAACCATGGTTAATCTTACTACAGTTAATTAATCTAAACAGTAACTAATTATCCAACTGACTAACTAACTATTTACAGCAACTATTTACAACAATAACAACAATAATCCAAGACATTTTGTGAAGAAGTTCAACCACTTTTGAAGTTTCATTATTCTGGAAGAAATTAGACTACATTTGGAGCACAACCATTTTGCTCCATATCTGATAACAAATTACTTGCCATTTCTAATTCCCTTCTTTACAAAGTCCATGCATCATGATGTTATATGTCACAACATTTGGAACAAAGCCTTTATTTCACAATCTGTGAAACAGTTCCCAAGCAATTTTGAGTCTCCCTGTTTTTAATGTAATTATTTTATAATAAAACATAAATTATATAATAATTACATTAAAAACAAATGACATTATTAACATAATAAATCATTACTATATAGTATTAATGTTCTAATAAAAACAATTAGAGCATATTGTAGTAATATAATGTATAGGATACAATTGTTTTAATTTTTTTTTATTAGGTTTAGGGTTTTTCTATTATAATGGTATTATTATTTATAGTTAATACTTTATTTAATAGATGTTAGTATTTTTTATGTAAACTTTTTATTTAAACCTAATTAGTATTATATTTCACTTGTAATATTATAATGTGGAATGGAGAAGATTCCTAGTGGAGAGTACTAAACACGTCTCCTCATTTTCAATATGGGGATTTTGTTTCCCCACCAAACCCACATTTCTTCTCCTCATTTCAATATGGGGATTGTCATCCTTACCTAAATCTACATATAATTTCGAAAAATAAAAACACAAATTAAGTTATATACAAGTTTCAGTTCCAAACAAAAAGTTAACTGATAGAGCTTGAAACTATATATTTTGTTAGTGATTTAATTGGATTTTTTATGGAAAAATGTGTTTAAATTGTGGAATTTGAGTTAATTCTTTCATAAATATATTTTACGGGATCACAGGTGTATTTTGAGTATTTTCAGGTTCAAATCAATGTTTGAAGGAAAAAGAATGATGTCGATGGAATTTACGACAAGTAGGAACAAATGGTGCACGAATCGGAGTTGAAACGAGAAAGTTATGACGCGTTGAAGATATAACGTAAAATCTGGAAATCCTTCAAGATGAGCATGCTTCGATTTTTCTGTCATAACTTGAGCTGTAGAAATCGAAATTTGACAATTCTGGTGGCGTTGGAAAGCTTATTCAGAGAGCTACAAAGTTTGTGTTGATGAATTTATCAAATTCGGAAGATCACAGACTCATTGGACAGAAAGAAAGATCACCGTAGCGACTGTTCTTACCGCCGCGGCGATAGGTCACGGGACTGTTTAAGTTATTACATTCTCCTAGTCCAAATCTGAATGGGTGAAGACATTTAATTATTTCCTAAGTAACCTCCAAACCCTAGGACTATAAATAAGGGTCTTTAAGTAGTTTTTTGGAGATTAGAGAAGGAAAAAAGACGGCTACTATTTTGGAGATCACAATTCTTGCAGTTCTCGTTCGCCAATTAGAGAAGTTTTTCTATTTTTGTTTCTCGAAATCATGTTATTGAATACAATGGTTGTTTTTATTATTACAATTATGAACTAAATCTCTTTTCTAGGGCTAAAGATGTAGCCCAATTTATGAATATGTGTTGACTTTATTGTTGTTAATTCTTATTGAGCATTAATTCTAAGTTTTATTATTGTGTGTAATGCTTTCAATTCTTAAGGATCCGAGGGTTGAATGATATCATGGGTTGGGTTGAGATCGAGAGATGAAACCTGATTAGTCTAAGGTAATAAAAGCATAGATTGAGTGAACGCTAGAGATAGGTTACCGCGAGCTATGAGGCTCTAGTAAATTCCATAGAACTTAATGATCTCCTAGCTCCTAAATCCAACTTAGAGATATTTTGGGTTGTTGCTTAAGGGTTAATTTGCTAATTATTCGAGAGAAAGTTAGTGGAATATCAGGGAGTTTGGCCTTCAGAATAAGCTTAATTAGGTCAGCAATAATTGTCAATGCATAGAATTAAATTGGTGTGAAATCTGTGCCCTAGGTTTAGTCATATTGATCTTTATACCAAAGTATTTATAAAATTCTGCTTTTGTTTAGTTTTTATTTAGTTTTCTTTTTCATTAAATTCATTCTTAAAATTCTGTTCATCAAATAGTATACAAAATAGACTAGTTTGGTACTTGGTAGGTAGTTCTCTTGGGATTCAACACTTGTTTACTTGAGCTTTATTGCTTGCACGATTTCGTACACTTGCGAATAGCCTGTCATTAACACATGGATTTAGAGCATGGATTCATGACAATCCCTTATTGTTAGGGGCAAAAAATGTCTTCGGCCCAAAGACAAAGACACCTTCAACAAAGTTGGAAGCTAGGAATTGGGCCCACTATAAAGTTTTGCAGATCTGGTCCGTTCAGTACGCTTACCTAGTTGCTTACCATTTGGACCCAATCAGCAGATGCTCGATTCGTTTAGGCCTCATTGCCAGTTCATCTGGGCCCAAGCCCTCTGATCCTAGAACACCTTCTAGACTTAAGATCTACTTGGAGCCCAGGGTCGCCTACGTACTCCGGGACTATCTGAACTCTACTAAAGAGTCCATCACTACCCTAATTCATCTAGGATCTGTATCCTAGACACGTTGGGACTCTCTTTCCTACTGAGGTAAAGGAGCCAAAGGCTCCACTCTTTCACAAAACCACAACTCAAAGGACTCCCAGTCCCACTAGGATTCAAAGACCCTATAATCACTATTTAAACAAAGGCTAGCCCTCTCACAAGGGGCAGACACAGACACATTACACCTTTAGACCTTGGAGTTCCCACTCTTGAGAACTTCGCATTATAGTCGTAGTTATAGTCTTTGACTAGACTTCTGGTAACATTTTCTCTCCCTAACACTCACTACATTAGCCTCATTCAGCCTTGCTGACTTGAGCATTGGAATGCCTATGGCAAACACCACCTCGGTGTTTTCCGTCTGCTTTACGCTTGTTTTCTTGCGTGTGCAGGTGCAACAGATCGCTAGTGGCATCAACCTCATAGGATCAGTCCCTATTTTCATAAAAGTAGATTTTTGCATCTACAGTTTGGCGCCCACCATGGGGCCTCTAGCAATCATTCGTCTCTCAAACCCTGCTATGTAAAGAAACTCTCTATGGCTGAAAATTCTGATAACATTAATCCTGGCTTCGAGGCTAGACTGGAAGCTCTAACTGCCCTTATGCAATAGCACTCAGACAAGGTGACCACATTGGAAGTTGAGAACATTGCCATCCAGACCAAAAAGGCCTCCATCAGGGCTGAAAACCAATTTCTAAAAGAGAAGGTAAGTTAGTTTTATGGTCTTGAGCTTCTGCCTTGTCAGGTACAACCTAACCGGTTCCGCGCATCAATTCCATCCATGCAACTTCGCTAAACTCCAGAGCATAGACCAACGATCTTAGATACGAGGTCGTGCCAACTTTATTCATCATTAGTGGACGATTCAACCCTGAATCATAGTGAATGGGGGTTGCCGATAGAACCACTCTTGGTTGATCCGCTTTAGGCACGAGATCAAGACGTCCAAGTAATGGAGAGCCCACCACAACAAGAGCCACACATCCTTGCCATCCTGTCTCACCTTCAGTCAACCATCCCTACCCAAACCCCACTCGGCTCGACTCATCCTCGTGGGTCGAGCGGGCTCCCTTCCCTTCAAACCATCCCGCTCGAGTCCATCCATCCCAATAGACCGAGCTACTCCTAAATAACCCCTCTTATCATCCATGTGGGGTGAAACACCCGATCAATCACAATGGGAGCCACTCAAACGGAGGGAGTGAATGGAGATTCAGGCTACCAAGCAGCACACGACAGAATGATTCGTCAGGCTACACCACGTGGCTTGACCCAATGAAATGCACCGATGCGAATCATATGACCAACCGAGTTAACCAAGATGACCTAGTGGTCTCCGCCTCGCCCATGGAGCAAATATTTGCCAAAAGACTAACTGATATAGAGGCAGTGATAAGGTGCATACCTGAAGTGCCAATCCTAACCAAAAAGAGCCAACCTCACTACTATGCCGATTCACCCTTTGTGGATGCAATTGCGCTAGCCGAGATGCCTTACAAATTCACCATCCCCAATATGAAGCCCTACGATGGTACAACAGACCCAGATGAGCACATAGCCTCATACAAGCAGTGAATGTTTGTCATCTCGATACCCTGAACACTGAGGGAAGCCTGCATGTGTAAGAGCTTTGGCTCAAGCCTCTCCGGACTAGCTTTTCAGTGGTACACTAACCTTCCAAACAATTCAATCAGCTAATTCGCCCAGCTCACTTGCCCAGCTCACCGACACCTTCATTGAACAATTCGCCAGCATCAAGAAACTCGAGAAGCTATCAGCCGACCTATATACAAAGACCTGACAAAGCTCGGCTGCACCACAATGGAAGACGCCCTAGCCAAAGTTGTGATTCAAATAAGGTGGGAGGAAGATGAGATGAATCGGATGAGGCATTCCAGATATGAAGACCGTTACCAAAGGCGGAATGATAGAAGGCCATAGTCTAGATTGTTTGAGACCCGTTATCAACCCCCTCCACGCAATCTGAACAGAGTCAAAAAACCATACCACTGCCAACCGACTAAAGCTGACAATAGACCATCTAGATCAAACCAATAAAAGTTCCAAAGTATAATCTTAACATCGAACTAGCCCAGGTCATGGCAATCGTGAAAGAAATGAGACCTACTATTAAGTGGCCAACAAAGCTCAATCCTGAAGCGAAGAGGGACACGACCATGTTGTGCGAATTCCATGTTGATCATGGTCATAACACCGCGTATTGCATCGCCCTACAGTTGGAAGTCGCAACACTATTGAAAAGGGGACATCTCCAAGACCTATTGACGGATAAAGGGAAGAATACAGTTAGCCAAAGAAGCTCGAAGGAAACATCTCCCCCTCCACAAGAACCTACACCAAAGGGGTTCTGCTCCATTATCTCCAGAGGGTCGGAGATCAGTGGGGTAAGCTATTCCTCGGCCAAGCGCTACGCTCGAGCGAACCATCACCTTGAAGTCCAATCCATCCATCTGTCCCCTTGGTTGCACACTAACCAGGTAATTCAGTTTGAAGATGACGAGCTAGTCACCCTTGCTGCCTCTCATCACGATGCTCTAGTCATCTCCCTTTATATCACCAACATCCTGGTCAAGAGAGTATTTGTAGATGGGGGATCCTTGACAAACATTCCCTTCCTTGAAACAGTGAAGGCCATGGGACTAGATGAAACAAACATCAGCAGACGACCAACCATATTGGTCGAGTTTAGTTTCGAGTAGAAGTACACCATCGGAGAAATCACCTTGCATGTCTATACCAATGGAGTCAACAAGCAAACCATTTACTTAGCGCTCGATTGCTCCTCAATCATTTTGGGTCGACCATGGATCCATGACATACGAGCTGGTCCATCCACCTTCCACCAAACTGTAAGGTTTCAAACGAAATGGGGAGTGAGAGAAATCAAGGGCGATCCTAAGGTGTCCAAAGACTACTACAAAAACGCCTTCAAAAGCAAAGGTCATGCCTTAACTACAGTCCCATCCACCCCCTTTGACTGAGCCAAATCAACCATCCATGGAAGAGTTGGATGAATTGCAGATACACCTAGACCACCCCAACCGGAAGACCCAGATAGGCTCTCGACTCGGGCTTGAGATAAGAGAGCGGCTCATAGAATTCCTCAAACAAAACCAGGACTGCTTCACCTAGTCTTACGTAGGCATGACAAGAGTCAACCCTGAGGCAATCGTTCACCACCTCCAAGTAGATCCAGATCACTCTCCAGTGAAGTAGAGGTGAAGGAAATTCACACCAGAATGCAACCAGATCATCAATAAGGAGATTGACAAACTACTGAATAACGGGTTGATCAAAGAAGTCTACTATCCTGACTGGCTAGCAAACGTTGTGGTCGTGCAGAAAAAGAATGGAAAGTGGAGGGTCTACATAGACTTCACGGATTTAAACAAAGCATGCCCCAAAGATTCTTTCCCACTTCCACATATTGACATGATTGTGGATGCGACAGCAGGTCACGAACTCCTAAGCTTTATGGATGCCTTTTCAGGGTACAACCAGATTTTGATGCACTCGAACGACCAGAAAAAAACAACCTTCATCATAGAGTGGGGGACCTACTGCTACAAAGTAATGCCATTTGGTCTCAAGAACGTTGGGCCTACTTATCAGTGTCTAGTCAACAGGATGTTTGCCGAACACCTCGGCAACACCATGGAAGTATACATCGACGACATGCTCATCAAGTCCCTTATGGCTAAGCAGCACCTCGACCATCTCAGCCAAGCGTTCGTCATCCTAAGGAAATACAACATGAAGCTAAATCCAGCCAAATGCTCGTTCAGGGTCTCGTCCAGAAAATTCTTAGGATACATGGTAACTTAGTGTGGGATAGAAGACAACCGTGACCAAATCTAGGCGATCCTCAACATACCATTACCAGCGTGCATTAAAGATGTCCAACGCCTCGCTTGGCGAGTAGGAACTTTGAGCCTCTTCATCTCTAGATCCGTCGAAAAGTGCCACCATTTCTTCCTCACACTCAAGAAATCCAAGAAATTTGAATGGAACCCCACTTGCGAGAAGGCCTTGTAAAAGTTAAAGAGATACCTAACCTCTCCCCCCCACTCTTTTCCAAGCTTGTGGTTAGGGAAAAGCTTTACACCTACCTGGCGGTCTCGGAGACAACAATCTTAGCAGTTTTAGTTTGGGAAGATAATGCAAAGCAGCTACCAGTTTACTATGTATGCAAATACTCCTAGATGTCAAGACACGATACAGTCAGCTGGAGAAACTGGCACTCGCCCTCGTCTATGTATCCAAAAAGCGCAAACCATACTTTCAATGCCACTCCATAGTTGTACTCACTTCCTTCCCACTCAAGAAGATACTTCATAAGCCAAAGTTATTAGGCCGACTCACACAATGGACCGTAGAGCTTAGTGAGTTCGATATATCTTTCTAATCACACATCGCCATCAAATCCCACGCACTGGCAGACTTTATTGCTGATTTCACCTTGAACACCACCATCCAAGCGGAAAAAGAGTTATTGTGCATGAATAGCAGATCACCTTCGAGGTGGACTCTCTCAGTAGATGGCTCAAGCAACGTGAATAGAAACAGGCTCAGTTTTGTACTTACTACACTAGAAAGGGATATCATCCAACGGGCCATACGATGTGGGTTCAAGTGCACCAACAACCAAGCCGAATACGAAACTCTCATTGCTGGACTCTCTCTAGCCAAAGAGATCAGAGTAAGGAAGCTGGAGGTAAAATCCAACTCTCAACTCGTGGTCAACCAGCTACAACCCACTTACCAAGCTCGCGACTCGAAGATGACAACCTACTTGAACTTGGTCAATGAAATGCAGACCGCCTTCGAAGAATTCTCCATCGCCCAAGTCCCAAGAGCGGAGAACACCCATGCTGATACCCTTGCCAACCTCGGCTCAGCCTTTCAAGGTTCCTCCCAATCATCCATCCCACTATTGTTCCTCCAATGGCCAGTTGACTGGAAGGAACACCCAGCGAACAAGGCGCCTGAAGAAGTAATGGATGTCGAACCGGCCGACTCTTGGATGACCTCGATACTAAAATATTTGGAACATAATGAGCTCCCAATCAACAAAAGTGAAGCATGCCACCTGAGAGTGAAAGCCGTAAGATTCAACATATATGAGGGCCAACTCCTTAGGAGGTCGTTCTCTAGCCCCCACCTTAAGGGCATAAGTTCGAAGAAGCCAAACGGGTTCTCGCCAAACTCCATGAAGGTGAATGTCGAAACCATGTAGGAGGACGCAACCTTGTCCATCGGGTGATCACTGCTGGCTACTATTGGGCAACCATATGCATTGATTCAGCGACCTATGTGAAGAAATGCGACAGTTGTCAGAGGTTCACCTACATCTCACACCTTCCACCTAAGTGACTCAACTCCACTCTAACACCTTGGCCGTTCATAAAGTGGGGAATGGATATAGTCAGAAAACTCCCGACCATGCTCGGGCAGCAAGTCTTCATGTTGGCGATCATCGACTACTTTCCTAAGTGGATCGAAGCCGAAACACTTACACAAGTCAGAGACCGCGAGATAAAAGCCTTTATCTGGAAACACGTCATCTGCAGGTTTGGGATACCAAAGGAAATAGTCACCAATAATGGGTCCCAATTCATAAGTTTAGACTTTAGAGACTTCTGCGACATGTGAGGGATCAAGCTTAGCTTCCCCAATTCATAAGTTCAGACTTCAGAGACTTTTACGACATGTGAGGGATCAAGCTCAACTTCTCTACCCCCCGTAACCCCTAGTCAAACGGCCAGGCCAAATCATCAAATAAAACCATCACATAGACTTTAAAGAAACGCCTATAGAAGCCAAAGGCGCATGGGTAGACAAACTATCCGGGGTCATCTGGTCTTACCGGACAACAACCCGCTCTTCCATGGGTGAAACTCATTTCTCCCTCACATACGGATCCGAAGCAATCATCCTAGTCGAAGAATCGGTCCCCTCAACTAGACTCTAATGGTCAGATGGGGAAACCGACAGCCAAAACCTTTGCCATAACTTGGACACAGTCGATGAACTACGCGAACGGGCGAACATCTGCAACGCAATCTACTAGCAGCAGGCTGCTCGACACTACAATCGTAATGTTCGAATCATAACTTTCAAACTAGGTGACTTGGTCCTCCGGAAAGTCTTTCAAAACATTAGGGAGATCAACTATGGCAAGCTCGGCCCTACTTGGGAGGGTCCCTACAAGATCGCCAAGGAAGTAGGGAAGGGCGCCTATAGACTCCAAACCCCTGAAGGCAAGGTCATCAACAACAGTTGGAATGCAATCCATCTCAATCGTTACTACTTTTAGTCTGACTATCTTATCGACATTTTTGTTTCTTGTATTTATTTAAAAAAAAAAGAATGAGTGGGCCTATCCATCTCCTTCACCGTCAGTCGGCCTCATGGCCTAAATTCAGTAAAAGAACTATTCAGCGATAGAGCAGCATACATGGTCAATCGGCCTAGACCGATTCATTAACTTATACCTTCAATCGGTCCAGACCGATTTATAGAGTTACACCTTCAATTGGCTTAAACTGATATATAGAGTTACACCTTCAATCGGGCCAAACTAATATATAGAGTTACACCTTCAGTTGGCTCAGATCAATTCATCGACTTACACCGTCAATCGGCCCAGACCGATTCATGGAGTTACACCTTTAATCAGCCCAAACCGATATATAGAGTTACACCTTCAGTTAGCCTAGACCGATTAATCGAGTTACACCTTCGATTGGCCCCGACTGATTCATCGACTTACATTGTCAATCAACCCAGACCGATTCATTGACTTAAATCTTCCATCGGCCTAGACCGATTCATTGACTTGCATCGTCAATTGGCCCAGACCGATTCATTTAGTTACACCTTCAATCGACCTAAACCAATTCATCAACTTACACCTTCAACTGGCCCAGACCAATTCATTAAGTTACATCATCAATCAGCCTAGACCGATTCATAGAGTTACACCTTCAATTAGCCCAAATCGATATATAGAGTTACACTTTTAGTTGGCCCAGATTGATTCATCGAGTTACACCTTTGATCGACCCCGATCGATTCATCGACTTACACCATCAATCGGCCCAGATTGATTCGTTGACTTACACCTTTCATCGGCCTAGACCGATTCATCGACTTACACCGTCAATCGACTCAGACTGATTCATTTAGTTACATTTTCAATTGACCCAATCCGATTCAATGACTTACACCTTCAATCAGCCCATACTGATTCATTAAGTTACACCTTCAATCAGCCTAGAATGATTCATCGACCCACCCCGTTAGACGGCCCATAACAATTCATTGACTCAATGGTTTACACATCCAGCCGACTATACCAACACACCGCCATGACGCTGGTGACTCAGCCACTTGGCCTCGTCCACATTGCAACACAAGTAGTCGGTTCAACCTCTATACATCTACAAGCAATCAAGCAACCAACTCATCCATCCACAAAGAAAGCAGCAAAATAGAAACACAAGTATAAACACAAAGTCTTTAAAAACTAAGGATAAGATAAAAGAGCCTTAAACGGCTAAGTATCGAGTACAAAAAAGGCACACACGCCATGAAAGGGTATCGCATGCCCTAAAAATACATGAGGAAAGAAAAAATAAACCTAAGGGGCATCATGGCCCATATCATCGGTGTGAGTCGTCTCACCCATCTCTGACTC